CCCCAGCCCGGCTAATGGAATCTGAAATACCTAGTGAAGGTGGTGTCTGCACAACGCTGCCTATAGAATACACGTATTACAAACTCCTGCATTTGTACATTATAAGGGTGAATTTTGTGATATGGGAACTTTACTTCAATTTAAAAAAAAGGAATGCTATAAAAGGCCAGCCAAATAGCTCAGCGGATTGGCGCAGGGGCCGGGTTCGCTCCCCAGGCCTGCCATGCCGGCCCCGCCCCCAGGCACCCTGAGATGCAGAGACACCTGTAACCCCAGCTCTTGGGAGTCTGTAAACAGGCGGATCACTACAAGTCCGATCTAGTAGTGAGCCCCTGAACACCCTGTAGACCCTTTCCTAAAAATATCAAAAAAAAAAAGGAATGCTGAACAAGATTATTCACAATTATTAAAAAGTAACACCAATTAAATGAAAGAAACACACACACACACACATACACACACACACACACACACACACACACAGAAACTCCGGATGATCAGGAATGAAAGACTGACAGAAATAAATATGTGAGCAATTACAGACTATTTTTCCTAATATATTTAAAATACAGATGACTGTTTAAAGTCATTTGTTTAAAGCACAAATTATGATTATCATCCTGTGGACCTCAGAATGCAGGCAGATGTAACACAAAAAACAACCCTAACACAGTAGAGGGCATCAGGGTCCAAGTGCAAATAACTGGTTTCTCTGGTTTATGAAGTGTTATTAGGCAAGTATCCCTAATTTGAAAACCCAAAGCTTAAAACATTTTCAGTGTTGTATAGGTACATCATAGCAAACCTTAGAAAGTTTGCATTCTCAAGCATTTCAGATTTTCGAGTTAGGGATGTGTTCAAATGATAAGAGTTTCTGCAAATATTCCCAAATCTAAAGGAAACCAAAATGAGAAGCACTTCTGTCCAAAGCACTTCAGAAAAGGGATGGTCAACCTGTGTTCCCCTAAACAGACTTAGAAAAGTTAATATACATTAGAATCCCTAAGCACTAAAAAGTTTTTAAATTTTTAATATGCCAAGTGCTTTGATTTTAAAAGTCAACAGATCAAAGAACCTCAAATAGAAAGGAGGATGTGAGGGTGATCTGCCTGGTCACCTGTCATCCCACTGATCAACAGGGCTGGCCTGGGTGCTCTTTGGGCCACATGGGCGTCCCCTTTCTTCCCCCCTGCTCCATGTGTGTCCCTTTCAAAGCTGCATGCTTGCTCCGTTAGAGGATGACTACTCTCAACAGAGGACCACCTCCTTGCAAAGGAGGAGGTGTGCATCTCTGCTCGAACTCCAACATGCTGTCAAGGGGTGCCCTGGGTGCCCAAGAATACACTGTTCAGAAGCCTCTCCTGGACAATAGGCACCTGTAGGCTACACAAAGGGGGCAGGCGAGACTGTGGTCACCCTCCTTAGATCATACTTGCCCTAAGAGACAAGTCTCTTAGTCTCCCAGACTGAGGAGACTGAAGAAGTGGGAAATTCAAGCACACCGTGGGATCTGGGGCCAGAGACCGCCGCGCTAGAACAACACCATGAGGGTCTCTGGCAGATTCTTACCGGCCCAACAGACTGCCCAGCCACACTGCAGATGGAAACAGCTCTCCTGCTATGGTTTGGGTGAGTGCCCCATGAAGGGGAGGCTTGGTCCCCAAGTTCTGGTGGTGTGTAGGCCTTGTGGAATAGGTCCCTGAAGGGTCTATGGGCCCCGCTCCTTCCTTTTCTTTGTATCAGGCAGCTGTCTCAGGGATTTCATTATACTACCATGAAGCTGACTCACACACATCCATTCTTTCTTTAGTTGTGACAGCTTTTCCACAAATTAATCATATATGAAGCCCTCTACTACAGCACCCACCCTTCAAAGCCACATCAGAGTAAGTCACAAAGCTATCAAACTCTTTCTTTCCTTTGTACTAAAAATATACTATCTGTTACTTTGTTAAATAATTAGACTCTCTTTTGTTTTTCTGCAGTACTGACAAGTAAACCCAGGACCTTTTTTTTTTTTTTTGGTGGAACCAGGGATTGAACTCAGGCCCTTGCGCTTTCCAAGGAAGCGCTTATTCCACTGAGCCATCTCCCTGGCCCCAGGACCTTTATACTGAACTACATCCCCAGCTGTTTACTTTTAGACAAGAGTCTGTTTTGGTTACTTTTTTCTCACACCAGCCAAAGGGAAGGGAGCACTTCCTTGAAGATGGTGAGTTATTCTAGCAAATGACTGCTCTCCAGAGGGAGTCGGGACCCCAACTTCAGCTGGGGGCAGAAGCGGCAGAGGGCTAGACTGAGACAAAATATCTGACACCCCAAATTAAGGGAGGAAAGGTTTATCCGGCTCAGTCTGTAGAGGTTTTAGTCCATAATCAGCTAGGAAGGTAGGGTGGGCTGGCTGAGGAGCAACGCTCATGGTAGCAGGAGACAGCAAAAGCAGCAAGAAGGAAGAGTAGGAAGCAAGCTCCTTCTCTTCCCTTGAGCTGTATTCAGACTACCCTCATAGGGGCGGGTGGGGCACTCGTACCACCACTCCCAGCAGGACACAAGAGCCATCATAAACTAGGTTCAGTTACCTCTGAAAAACTGGCCCTCTGCGACCAAATGAGGTTTGGGAGGAATTCAGACACAAACCTTAACAGAGCCTATGTCACTAAACTGTCCGAACTGGGCTTGTACTTGCAATCCTCCTGACTCAGCCTCCCAGAGTGCTGGGGTGATGGGTGTGCTCCACCAACGCCTGCCTTTGTCCCTGCTGTGTCATCACCCTCATCTGATGACCTCGATCTGGGAAACTGCAAAAGCGCATGTTTGGCTGTCTCTAGTGAAGGACAAAGACCTCTGGAGAAGGTGCCCTTCCCCGACACCCAGTTAGAAAGGTGGCACAGTGTCTGCGTTTAGAAAAGGAAAGTGACTACAAATGAACACGCAGAGCAAACAGTAAGGCCCAGCCTGTGGCCCTGAACTGCTGAGGATGCGGCACTGCACGGGACACTGATGCAGAGGGTGCTGGCGCGAGGTGGAAACTCCCTGTACTTTCTGATCTTCTGACCAAATTGGTCTTTTTTTTCTTTTTTGCTGGCTCAGCCCGCCCTGAGGGCAAGGCTGGTGCAGCATGTGGTGCCAGGGATCGAACCATGGTCCCCTGCACTTGCCTAAGCAGGTGCTTCAGACCACTGAGCTATCTCACTGGCCCCAACTTGGTTTTAAATGTAGAACTGGTCTAAAAAAATGTTGAAACGTGAAACACATCTGGTCTTTGCCCTAGTTCCAGCCATGGAGCTCCCCAAATCCTTGAAAACACCTGAACGATGAGTCTTTGCTAAGGCTCTGGCCGCCCAGGGAGAGGCCTGTCCCTGGAAAAGCTAGTGAGGACCAGTCAGCAGGCCTCCCACCCACACCTCAGCCGCCGCAGGGGAAGGGCTGCACTTCTGGGGCCCCAGGGGGTACAAGGCTCACACACACACACACCAGCCCCAGCCTCGCCCTGTGCACTCGTGCACGTGGCTGTTCCCAGATCTCCTCCACATCACACCAGCCAAAGGGAAGGAAGCACTTCCCCGAAAATAGTGAGTTATTCTATCAAATGACTGCTCTTCAGAGGGAGTCGGGACCCCAACTTCAGCTGGGCGCAGAAGCGACAGAGGGCTAGACTTGCAACTGGCATCTTGCAGAGTCAATCCTGTGAGACTAAACCTCACTATAGGGTCCCAGAGCCACTCCAGGCAGAGGCTGTCAGAGTAGGACTGAGTGGAGGATGCCACGCTGGGCTGTGGCACACTAAAGAGGCACCTACCTCGGAGAAGCCCGTGTGTCTGGGGGCACAAGTGCTGTGCTGGAGCACAGAGATCAGGGTGTTTCCCCCAATGTACAGTCTACTGATCTCAGAAAACTAACAGTAAGGCCTGGCCATCAGCAGCCAGGTATGGCTCCTCAGTGCTTTTCTCACCCTAAAACCCAGGAGGTGCTGGGTCTGAAAATCTCTTGTCCTCTCCAGTAGTAAGAAAGGATCAGGTCTGCTCTCCAGTTTAGATAAGTCTGTACAGGCCAATTGCCTCGTGTCTAACTCTAGCACCTGCTCACCCCTGGCCTGACCCACCCCAGGACTATCTTGCCCCGCTCAGCATGTCCCAGCAGGACTTATCTCCCCAGACTCGGTCTCTGTTTCTGATAAAATCATCCTCCAGCTCCTTTCTCCAGATACCTAACCCTCAGGGACACTGGTGTGACATCACTTTCAAAACTACATCCTGACCTGATCCCACATACACAAGGCTTTCACCTCCTCCAACCTAGACATTCAACTGCTCTCCAGCACTGTGACATCTGGCCTCAGCCTGCTCGCCAGAGTACCGTTCTGCTTTATCCCCATGGCACCCACAGCACCCTGACCTCAATCTCCACCTCACTCCTCTTGGTCTCCTTGTGTCCCCAAATTCCTGAATTCACAGGTCCTAACCCCCAGGAGCTCAGAGAGTAACTATACTTGGAGCAATAAGTGAGGTAAAAGGAAGTCACTGGTGTGGGCCCTACTGCTTTAGAATCAATGTTTTTGTTAGAAGAGCAGACTAGGACACACACACACACACACACACACACACACACACACGATGGCCCTATAAGGACTCAAGAGGAAGCAGCATCCACAGGCCATCGAGAGCCTCAGCGGAACCAGCTGCACAGTGGACTTCCTGCTGCTGAGCCATCTTGGCACTGTGTAGGGCAGGAGCTGCCTCGTGTACTCTGCCTCTCTGTACTTCGTACTGTGGCCTGCACACGCCACACCCGCCCAGGATCCCCCTCCATGTCCACCCACTGTCCAGCAAGACTAGGTTCTGCATGTATTTCTCAGCGGCAGACACCAAGCCCAGAAGTCTTGAAGTTACTTGGCCAATGAGAGGCAGAGAACAGATAAACATCAAGCCTTAGCTGGCTCTAGGATCAGTGCACTTTTACCAATACAGGTAACTCCAGGAAAAAATAAGGCTGCTACTTACTTTTCAACCCAGAGCACTGAGACGAGCTTTATCCCCCTCTTCTGGGCTTTGTCCCAAGTGCTCTGGTACCCATCTTTGAAGACAACGTGAGTTACTTGTTTGTTAAAAGTTTTTGAAACCTGAGGACAAATGCAGAAAACAAAATTTACATTAATATTTACATAGATTCCTACGTATAGTTACTCAAAAAAGATTGTTTATTTAGTTATGTCACAACAAAAAGAGTTTAAAACCCCAACCCAGCATTCGACAGCTCAGAACCCATCAAAGAGGCACGCTGGCAAATGTGTAACACTGCTAAAAGCACATCTGCTCCAGTTTCTCTCTCTTTTTATTAGCATATGTTTGCAATCTGTGATAATTACATTCGCCTTGGACCTGTTCCAGTTACTAATGGTACTGTGACATGTGCTTACCTCTGCTCCTGGAAAAACCTCAAAGTGGGATGAAAACAACAGAATCTCAGCCACACAAGGATAAAGAGAACAGAAGAGATGTAGACAGGAGGAGCCACATGTAGCAGCTAGAGAGAGGGAGAAAGTTGATGAGAGATACTTAAGAAAGTCTAGGGAGACAGCTCGATACCCTAAGTACCTGCCTAGCAGTGTGAGGTCCGGAGTTCAATCCCCAGTAGTGCATGCTGCACTGGCTCCAGAACCCTAGGTGCGCCATGCTAGCCTTGAAACGGGGTATAGTGGTGCATGCCTATAATCCCAGTGCTGGCGAGGCTGAGACAGGAAGATCACTATGAGTTGGAGTTGTACAGTGAGACCCTGTATCAAAAGAATAAAAAGAAAAAATATATACATGTACCTAAGAAAAGTTCTCTAAAATGAAAGAACACAAAGTCCCAAGGAAACAGCAACAAAAGAAACATATCTTTTTTTTTTTTTTTTCTTTTTAATCTATTTAATTCAGGGTCTACTCACTATACAGATTGAGTAGTCAGGGTCTACTCACTACACAGATCTTGTAGTCCTTCCTGTTTTTCAGCCTCCCAAGTGCTGGGATTATAGGTGTGTGCCATCACACCCAGTCTCAACTGGTGTGCTCTGGGGATGGGGGTCAGCACTGCAGGCCCCGTGTCACACAACTAATTAGCATTAAAAGTGCTTAAAACAAGCATGGTGATACATGTCTGGAATCCCAGCACTCGGGAGGCTAAGGCAGGAGTGATCACAGTGAATTTGAGGCCACTCTAGGCTACGTAGAGAGCTCAACAGCCTGGACTACAAGGCAAGACCCTGGTAAAAAAAAAAAAAAACAAAAAACAAAAAACAAAAAACCAAAAACATAAACAAAGAACAAAAGCAGAAAAGTGCTGAATATTTTTCAGAAGATAGACTTGTGTGATAAGATATCATTTTTCAAAAGGGTCAGAAATCTAAACAGTTGCTGGAAATTTAAAAAATGACGTAAGTAAAAAAATCTACAGAAATGTTAAGACAATGAGGTGGAGAAAAACTCCCTGGCCTCAGAGCACAAATGGGAAGGATGGAAGGATGGAAGGATGGAAGGATGGATGGAAGGATGGACGGACGGACGGACGGACGGACAGAGACACAGAAACTCTGACCAGCAGCCAAGCAACAGGGTGGAAGGAATGCAGGAACAGGGAAAATGAGCAAGAACTACAAGATAAACGGCTATAGAAAACGTTCTTAAACTAAAGGACATTCCTTCTGGATGGCCCTCCTACCCAGCAAGGGCCTAACACAAAACTGCAGCATCACACCAAGTGCATCACCATGAAGTTTCAATACAACCAGAAGTAAGAAAAATGTGAAAATGGTGGGAAGTCCGTGGCCAAATAATGAGAAATAAGAACAGAACCAGGTGGAAGTCCTCCATGCTTGTCACTCTCGCAGGTCTTCAGGTCTCCTCCTGGGGTCCTTGCCTTTCAACACTCAACAGGCCTGCTCCCCAATGGTCCTGCTAACCATGCCCCAGTGGCCAACAAGAATATTCGCCTTGCCTGACCCTTGAGGTCCTGACCCCACATCTAATGGTCCAGCCTTGCTGCCTGGAGTTCCAGATCTGTCTACCCAAACACCCAGGCATTTCCATCTGCCCACATTCACAGCCTGTTCCTTAGAAATCCGCCCTGTGCTCCTTGCTGTGATTAACAGCCATGTGCAGCCCCATAACCAGGGGCAGAATCCAAGTTTCGTCCTCCGGGCCTCCCTGCTTAAGGTCTGCAAGACCACCTGCTCTGGAGGCACTGCAGCTCTCAACCCTTCAGATCTGAGTTTTGCTTTTTCTTCCACCACTTGCCCAAGCCCATGCCCTTCTTGTTCTAACCAATAATGACCCCAGAAAGACGAAAATGTATCTTTTTACCTATCAGAAGCCTGACACATGTATCAACATGAAAAGGAATTGCTTACCTTTGCCCCCATATCCACAAGCTGGTTGGTAAATGTCTTGGAATAATTCTCTGTCCCATTGGAAGACCACACTTCAACATAGGCCACTACATCTGAAAAGAGGACATTCATGTGAAATACTCTGGGGTAATACTAGCACCCTGTACCTGCAAGGTTTTCCTCTTGTTCTATTTATATTACAAAGTAGATATAGAAACTTCTACTAAGAAACACCCACAGGAGCACCAGTTCTGTTCTTGGTACATAAAATTTTAAAACAAAGAGCAAAACCCTAACATTTAATACTCTTCCCTAATTCTGAAACACGGTGTAGCTATCCCAGGTCAGGAGTAGCTTTCTGTCGACTATTTTAGGCTTTGCGGGTCAGGCAGATCATCCAACTACTCAGCTTCACAAGCTGAGCCTAAAGTAGGCAAGGGCAGCAAGCGAGTGAGCCAGCACCGTTATGTTCTACTAAAACTAATTACGGGCAACGAAGTTTGCAGATTTTCGATTGCCACTTTTTTACTTTATTTCATCTGTCCACCTGAGAGCGGAAACAGCATTCTTAGCTCGCTGGTCCGGCAGAAACAGGCTGCAAAAAGGCGGGCTTGGACCCGGCCGGGCAGCGGCGCGCGGACCCGCCTGGGTGGGGCTTCCCACACGCGCCGACCGAGGGGAGTCCCAGACGCGCCCCCCGGGCTCGGCGCCAAGGGGAAAGGAGGCGCCGCGCGGGGCAGGCAGGTCGCGCGGGACCCCGGGCCTCACGACGCCGCGAGGTGACAGCGCCGCGCGAGCCCGCGACGCAGGCGGGACCCGGCGAGGCGCCGGCGGCTGCTCAGGATCCGCAGGGCCCGTCGCGGGGACGCGGGGACGCGGGGACGCGGGGACGCGGGGACTCCGGCTCGAGCCGCGCCGGTGTCCGGGCCCGCCCCCAGGAGCCCGCCCATCCAGTCCCCTCAGTTCCCCGAGCGCTAGGACAAAAAGTAACCTCACCTTTCAGCACTACGGACATGGGGGCCGCCATGACGCGCGCGAACAGCGCGACTGCGCGGGCTGGCAGGCGGCACTGAGCATGCGCGGGACGGTGCGCCCCGCCCCTTCCTCCCTTTAGGCTCCGCGGCGCGGCCAATCCGGAGGGCGCGCTGGGAAGGGGCGTGGCTCGCTGGAGGCTGGGCGGGGCCCCCTCTGCCACGCCCCTACCCCGGGCGCGGAGGTTTTTAGCAGTACTCGGGAAGGCTGTGGCGGCAATCTGGCTGAAGTCTTTGGCTTTCCGGGAGGCGCGTCTGGGCTCACCTGACAATGGAGGTCGGGGCACCGTCCAGCCGGTCCCTGTCGGGTGGACCTGAGTGCCGCTGTACTCCTAATCCCCACACCGCAAACACCCCCAGCCCGGGCACCGCACGGTCTCCTTTGCAAGAGATGGGGGCGCCACTGTGGTCTGCGCGCGGGACTGCCCTCAGGCACCCTCCCCCGTTCTGCCGCTTGGTGACCCGGCCCCCATGGCGGGGACTCAAGATCTCTGGAGTTCTGAAATTTCAGTTTCCTGCGACATACCTGAGATCCTGGCCACCCAGGGGACACCCAGACTCCAGAAGCCTGCGAGGGGACCCTGGACAAGATCTCAGACCCTGTGGGGCTCCTAAGACTCCTATCCCTGAGGAGGGACGCGATACCCCAATACTTGTGGAAATCTTGAAACTCCAGATCCCTGGGGTGGGCAGAGGAGGAGGACTGAAGCCTCAGCCCGCGTGGGGATCCTGAGACTGCAGATTCTGCAGGAGAACCAAGACCTCAGACACCACTGAAGCACCTTGAGACCCTTCCCCTTGCAGGGGGACCTCAGGACCTCTGACAGGCAAGCTGACATCTCTGGTCTGGTGGGGACACCCTAGAAACCACCATGGGGCCCTGAGACCTTTGTTGACAGAAGATGGGAGACCCCAGGTCCACGCAGCCAGCAGGCTATGCATCCCAGTGGGGACCCGGTGGGGCACCCTGAGGGCTGGGGTTCAGGTCCTCGGATCTCCCAAGGCTCGGTCCCGACCTTCCAAGAGCACAGGAAGCAACCCTGCCAGGCCTGCCTGTGTGGCTGCTGAGAGGAGACGGGTCAGCATGGAGCTGGCTTGGCCATGACGCTTGAGCAGGGAAGGGCTTGCATGTGTATTGGTAAAGTGCTCCACTGAATCTCCCTAAAACTCGTGCCAGTAAATACACCTTGTTCATTCAAACATGAACCAAGAGTGTAAAAGCCCTTACCCAGGAGTTCAATGTCACACTTCCTCCAACGTAAACATTCCCAAGCTAAATGAACAAGGGCCTTCAAGTGGCTCCCCTTTCAGCCTGGTGCCCCTGAGCACAGGCACTCTATTGGAGCCAGACTGGGCCCTTGCTTGGAAGTTTGTCCTGGCCACTAGAGAACTAGGAGACCTGGACAGGATTGGCAGCCCCAAGGTTCCTTTTTTTTGCTATAGAAACTCGAGTGCTTTCTGTCCCATTTTGCCAGCCCCGGAGAATTTGTTTTCTCTCAACTTTTTTTCTATCAAAAGATAAAATCAGGACAAATTTGATTGTAGACTGAGGTAGCTTCCAATGCTACACAGTAAAGCAGTGACATCACTTGCAGGAACAGAGTAGGGGACTTAGGAGGGAAGGACAGAACACTGATAGGGAAAGGCTGGTCACATCAGTCACACTATGGTGACAGCCAGTGCAGAGGGACTCCCTTACCCAGCTGGCTTGCTGAGAATGGTGCTGATGTTTCAGGAAACACAGATCTGTTCGGGAATCTCCTTGCTTCTCTAGCCCTTCAGTTAGACAGTGTGGCACTTGACGTGAGTGGCTCCATTTCAGTTTAGTCTGTCTGCTCGGCCTGGTGCAGGAGCTCAGTCCAAAACACTGGCCTTTCATGCTTTTTGTTGAACAATTTTCCCCCCTTGGCCACACTCTCACCCCAAACTTACAGTAGCAACCCTATTCTCAGTGGCATCATTTAGGTTTTGGGTCTCAACACATCATTCTCAGGAGACGTAAGTTTCTGAAAGAAGCTGTGGACATTCTTGAATTATCTTTGGAAAAGTCACATGGACAAGGAAGGGTACTGACAGAGTGTGTTAGCGTTGAGGGGACAGAACGCATGGTCAACATAGGTGTGACGAGAGGGTTTTAGTCAACTGAGACATTCCCAAGAGAGAAGGAGTAGGACAGAAGGTACAAGCAAACTCAGGCATGTTAACATTGTGAAAACAGGTAGAGGAGTTGTGGAAATAGTCATTTTTCTATTTTTATACCTTATTGTAAGTTTGAAATTATTGCAAAACAGGAAGTTTTTTTTTTTTTTTTTAAAGTTCTCAGAGAATGTGGTGATACATATCTATAATCTCAGCCCTCAGGGAGGCTGAGGCAGAAAGATCAGAAGTCCAAATACAGCCTGAGCAATTTAGTGAAAGACCCTGTCTCAAAATAAAAGGAAAACAAAATAAGAATCGTGCTAGGGATATAGCTCAGAGTGAAGGCCTCAGTTCAGTCTCTAATGCTAAATTCAATCTCTAATGGTTAAAAATAAAAATGCTGGCAATAAAAATAACTGAAGGTCATAGTTTGCTGCTCTGGCTAATGTCTACATGTCCCATCAAAGTGTCACCCAGTCATAGGTGGAGCTTTTCAGGGGTGGCTGAATCTAGGGTGCGTGATGCAGGGACTGAGGTGTGTGATTACTATGTCAGTCCACTGACTGGTTGGACGCAGTTCTGGGTGCAGATGATGGGAAGGCCCACCCCTTCTGGGTGTGGGCGCCACCACCCAGAGGCAGGTAGCCTGGGTGGGCATAAAGGGGCAGAAGAAAGGTCAGTCTGCTGCGGCTGCTGCTTCCCGCTCAGCTGCTTCCGGCTGCCATGAGCTGTTTCTCCTCTGTGATGCCCTCTGCCACGCCATGCTTCCGGTGTGAGCTGAAACCTCATGAACTGTGTGCCACTGTAAGTCTTTCCTCAGGGCCAGGGAAATGGCTCAGTAGAATAAGTGCTTGCCTGGCAAGTGCAAGGGTCTGAGTTCAACCCCTGGTTCTGCCAAAAAAAAAAAGTCTTTCCTTCTTTGACTTTCAGTGTTGAATATTGTGTCTCAGCAAAGAGAAAAGTGGCTAAGACAGTTACCATTATGCAAATAGCGCTAACTATCCAGGGTGGAGGTTGAGTGCTGTGGCTGCCACCTCCCAGTGCCCAGCACAATTGTACGCAGATGGATGCCCTTGCTTCTGAGCATGCTAATGGCCAGTAAAGGGACCAAGAATATACAAGCAAGGAATTGAGTCAATCATATCATGTGTTGATTTCATCTCTTAGCCTAATCAAGGCTGCTAGAAAATACCACAAGCTGTGTGCTTTATAAATAGCAGAAATTGGTTTCTCAGAGTTTTGGGAGCCAGATATTCAAAGACATGGTACCAGTGGCCTCAGTGACTTCTGAGGGTGTACTCTCTGCTCCATAGATGACACTTTCTCCCAGTCAGCTTTCTGGACCTCTTTTATCCGGGTGCTGAGCTGGGTGAAAAAGGATTGAATAGCATTATAATGGGTGATACATTGTGTCAACTTGGCTGGATGAGTTCAAGGCTCGGTTCCGCTGGTGGGAAGTCCGGCCCTGGGGCACAGTTGGTTCTGGACCCCCAAGTGACTCAGCACAAAGAGACCATATAAAGAGGCTGAGGAAGGAGTCGAAGGATGTTCCATTTGGGTTGGAGGAACTTCACTCTTCGCATTCAGATTGGACTTCATCACCTGCCTTGCAACAGACTCTTCGGCCTCCAGCTTGGATCCTTCACCTTCCGTCTCACACTCTCCAGCATGCATCGCAGACTCTTCAGTCTTCCGTCGCAGACCCATTAGCTGACAAATAGCGACTTGCCCAGAGCACTACAGTGAGCTTCAGACCTCGGAACTGAATTCTTCAGGCTGGGGTGTGCAGACGCCCTCTGTACACTTCCTCATCTGACTCTGCGGCTGACTGTTGTAAGCCAATCTTGTAATTCCTTATACATCCTCGTATATCTTGTGTTACCTTATATCTGTTCCTCTAAGTAAAACCCTGACCAATACAGGCACACATACTTGTTTCATAGCCTAGAAAAGTAAGGTTAGCAGCGGGAAGCACAGAGCCCCCTAAATTAGTATCAGTTGTAGAATCTCAATCACAGGCTCATTTGTTCATTCTCTCGTCTGTCTCTAGGGCATAACCAAGCACCTTCTAGGAACAGCACTGATAGATCGGATGCACAGCAATGGAGCTATCTCATCGGCTCCCTCCCTCCCTGTCTTAGAAGGACTGCCCGTCACCGAGCACACAGACTCAGAAGCTCAGTATTAAGACCCAGGGCCATGGGCTGGGGAGATAGCTCAGTGGTCTAAATGCTTGCCTGGCAAGCACAAGGACCCAGCTTCGATCCCCAGTACCACATGCCATGCCACCCCACCCTGAGGCTGCTGAGCTGGCCACTGAGACCGGGCCTGGTGGCACATGCCTTTAATCCCAGTGCTGGGGAGGTTGAGATAGGAGAATCACTATAAGTCTGAGCTGCAAGACCCTGTACCAAATAAATAAATAAATAAATAAATAAATAAATAAATCTTTAAAAAAGAAAGATCCAGGGGAAGGAGCACTGATGAGCGCATGGGAACCCAACTTTGCACCCACGTGATCTAGCTTTGCTTTGTTCTGTTTTTTGGTTTTTCTTTGCCATTACATTTCAGAGTTTTAATAAAATAATTCCAACTGAAGAAAGGATCTGAAGTCTAAAAGCGGCCACTCTGCGCCTTATGTTTTGCTTTCCAGGAAGCATGCGTGACGCAAACCCTCTTCCACACTGCCTCGCCCAGGCCAGAGGAATCCAGCCCAGAAGCTCCCTGAAATGCCCAAGGCCAAGGGGGCACACTGGCTCTGGGCTCTGCCGGCGGCGGGCTTGCAGGCTGTGAGCACCCTGGACAGGAATCAGGCTGGGAACATCCTGGCAAACAAGTCAGGGAAAAGGCACAGTGCTTCAGCAGGAAGCAGAGTCGAAGGCTCTCCCAGAAGCTTCTC